ATAACATGAGACATTCTACCTTTGAAGAAATGTGCATGGTAGGTCCTTGATGACAGAATCCATTTGACTTCAATCGTTAGGGTTTGGACGTCGTCATACATAGTTGCCTATATATACTTGGTTTTTTTCTACAATTTTATGATGTGGGAATAGGGTGATAAAAGTGATTACTAGTTTTTAGGATCATTGTAATATTTCTACGTCTTCATTATTTGTAGTGCAATAAAATCTCATAATTCATCTATCATATTTTCTTGTCTTCTTTTATTCTTTTATCTAATCCATTTCTTTTATTCTAATGGCATTAATTTGTTTCACTGTCCCACCTGTTACTAATGGCATTAATTTGTTTCAATTTGAGTTGTTGGTCAAATGCTCTTACTTAATCGTGTTCAATTTAAATTTAGAACTATGCTATGAGTACGGGGAAATTTCACAAAATACACACAGAAATTTGAAATGGATGGACTAGATTCAAACACGGAGGAGGGAAAACACATATACACGTACAAGATTTTTTCAATTTAAAATTATGTGCAAAATCTGGCAACATTTCCTGTACTTTAAGGAATTATTCTTAAATTTAACATACAACCATCTCATTGAAGCTACAGGTGGGACAGTGAAACAAATTAATTACAGGTGGGACAGTGAAACAAATTAATGCCATTAGTTACCCTTCTTCGATTCAACCGTTCCGACTCAAGCATTTGACCAACAACTCAAATTGTATGCGTACTTGTATAAAATAATTTATGAACCTTTTTTCGATGTCTCGAATGGAAAATTGAGGTTCCATCTTAACAAGGTCGGTCTAAGATTTATCATTGAGTTGAATTCTAAAAGTTGGGTCTTCAAATTGTTGCGTACATTTTTTTTCTTCATAAGGGTGTTGCTAAAATGTACTCCATGCATCCCACAAAAATAGAATTTCTTTCATTTTCACAAAGATTATGAAAATATAATTAATATATTTGAAACAATAAATTGTACTTACATGTGCCTAATATATCTTTACATGGGTTTAAATAGGAGTAGTTTATATTTGTTGATAACAAGATACATTAAATATGTATATCTTCTATATATTAAAAGTGGCTATGTAACGAAATTTCTTGTTTTTAACGGAAAAACTAACGGAATTTGTTGTTTTAACGAACTATGTAACGGAATTTCTTGTTTTAAACAGGCAACTGCACCTTCTTTCAATATTTTTATCATAACTTTGTATTCCGATGTCCGATTGAGACGATTCAAAATGCGTTGGAAAGTTAACTCATCTGGCTACAACTTTGATTCAAACATCATTTCCCAATTCGATCACTTTCTATGCCAAAAATAGGTCTCAATATGAGACTAAAACATCGGAGCATAATTTTTCGGTTGGAAATTGATTTGTGATCATCTTTTGACTAAATTTGATTCCATTGACGTCTTCCTTTATCCAATTGACTCCGAGCACTCTCAAATCTTCATCGTGAGGTTCGGCACAACTTTTAAGTAT